GTCTTGTCCATGTAATGAGTATTTTCTCGTTCAAACTTCATTTTCCGTCTTGTTGTCCATGAGATTCTCCCTGATCCTAGGAAACCCCACTGCGACACAAACTTCGGTCGTACGTATCCTTCTATAACCCCACACAACCCCTATAGATCCCTGAGGGTTTAGGGTTCAGGCCTAAAACCCTTGACCCTAAGCGGTTTAGGGCTTAGGGCCCGTAAGCCCGGATCCAAACATGCTTGCAGGCTACTTCCCTGGCTCTGCTTCTGGTCTTGCTGCGCCAACTCATCTCTTGAGGTGCCGTTTGGGAGCAGCTACGGGCTTTGCCATACGCTTCAGGGATAAGAAGTTCCATGTACCCCTGTAGTACCCTTTTTCCCTTTCTCTTTTGGGGTCTTCTTATTAAAGCTGAACATTAGTACCCTTGCTATTAAGCGGTTACTGGCAACACTAAATGTAGGGTTGAGGCCGCAAAGAACTCAAGTTATAAGCTGGTTCGATGGAATATCCCCCGCAGCTATTTTTTTGGTATCAGCAGTGCTTTGCATTATGCCTACCCAGTGAAGGGTTAAACTCTAAACCCTAAACCCCGAAACCCTAAACCCTAAACCCTTAAACCCCTAAACCCTAAACCCTAAACCCCTAAACCTTAAACCCTAAATCCTAAAGGTTTAGATTCGAGGGTTTGGGGTTAGGCTTCAGGTTCCACAGGGCAAAATCCTGGAGGGCCTGGGTTGGAGATTGGTGCACTTTACTGTGCCAGTAATTTTCTGTGGGTGCGTTACGTGCATCCTACTCATAACTGTAATACAGCCCCCTAAAATCCAAACCCTAAACTATAAACCCTAAACCCGAAAACCATATAAACCAAAAACATCTAAACACTAAACCCTAAAACACTAAAGCCCTCCTAAACCCTAAAACTAAGGAGGTGTTCTGAGCACAGTTCATAAAGTAGCCCTTCCACTCAGGTCTTAGAGTGAGGCGGGTAGGATCATTTCAGCGTAAAGGGGGTTATATAGGGTTTAGGGTTTAGGGTTTAAACTCCTTAAAGGGGGTTAAAAACGGGGATTCTAGAGGGAACTACTATAGGGATGACTAGGGGCGATACTCGGAGTTTAGACTACTATGGCTCACGTAGGGTTTTGTTCATGTAACGTCGAACGACGTGCCCGACCAAAGCAGTTTGAACCACACACACCTTCCTGAGGCATTGGTCTACTAGGTCTCAGCCCAGACCCCGAAAGTATGTAGAGTCATGGCCTGACTGACTGTTTTGGGGGAGTTTTGGGTCATTGTTTTGCCTTTGAGGTGGTTCCCAACAGAGCGTGTAAACACGTTCTGTCAGCCCAGACGCGAGCCGCCAAATCATCTATAGTGCATCCCACAGTACAGCATCATCATGACATAGTCCCCCTTAAGTAGATAGAATATGGCTTCGGGTATGTTCTAATCAGATCCCCATGTAGCCCATATTCTATCTACTTAAGGGGGACTATAAGGCTTGCAAGTGTCACGATTACATCATGGCTTCTCCCGACCACTCCCTTATACTTCCCGCTAAAGGTTCCCCATCGCTTGGCCTTAAAAAGCCCTTGACAGACCTAATCAAGAGGAAACCTAGGGGTAGGATCCCTAAACCCCAAACCCTTAAACCCCAAACCCTGAAACCCTTAAACCCTAAACCCTTAAACTCTAAAGCCTTAAGCTTTTCAACCCTTAAGGCCTTAAACCCTGAACCCTTAAGCCTAAACCCAACTACATGGCTTTCACCGCTGACGTTCAGCGCCGAGTCACTCCCAGACGCCCCACGCCTCCCATCATCCGTTTCAAAAAATGGCCGCCGCTCCCAGCTCCCCCGTGAAGGCTGGTCATGGTTTAGGGCTTAGGGTTTAAGCTTTAGGGTTTAGGGTTTAGGGCTTAGGGTTTAAGGTTTAAGGTTTAAGCTTCAGGGTTTTGGGTTTAGGGCTTAGGGTTTAAGGTTTAAGCTTTAGGGTTTAGGGTTTAGGGCTCAGGGTTTAAGGTTTAAGCTTTAGGCTTGAGGATTTAGGGTTTAAGGTTTAGGGTGTAACTGTAGGGTTTAGGGTTTAGGGCTGGCTGGGGTTTACCCTGGAGCTCCACGGCTCCATGTCTATAAATAATACTTACATTGGGGCCCCAAAGTCTGTAAATATTACCTACATTGGGCTAGGTGGATCCCTAGGGTTAGGGTTTTGGGTTTTCAAGAAAAGGAGCCCCCCATCTAAAGGCGCCAAAGTATAGAGGTTTCTAGGATATTAGAGAGGCTCCAAACTTGCTATAATGAGCCGGGTGGTTTTGGATCCGCGGCTTCTATAGGGTTGAGCTTTTCTTTGCCATGATGGTTGTAGCGCTGCTCAAGTAGATAGCTCAAACGAAAGGACATGTATAATGTTGCCTGGATGCACCGCATATCTTCCCATCGCAAGACTTCTTTGTGTCATGCTTTGTGCTGTTTAGTCTGGCAAGTACAGGGATGGACTCATACTGTTGATACTAGAAATTCTGCATGATCTAGTATAAGTTTATAGTACCAATTCCCAAGGTATAGCCTACTTGGGGTGATGCAGGATTTTCAGTAATTATCTCCGTTATCAACTGTCAGAACTTCGTTTATTGACCTTGAGAAATGCGAGCCAGTCATGCAACGGCTCCTACTGATATTGCCGAGATGCTTCTTTCAATTATGGCTAGTGGCCTTGCTCTTATTGAAATCCTCTCTCGGCTGCTAGTTGTCCGCCTAAGCTGCAATGGCTGCAATGGAGAATCAAGTGGAAACGATAAGTGGAAATCACATGGAAACTGGGGTTTAAAACGTGTTGCTACTATCATTGCTTCATACTACATCTTATTACAACTGTAGGCTTAACCTGCCCAGTCAGGTTGGTGTTGTGGCTGTCCCGGCGTTGCTTCGCATTACCATCAGCCGTAGTATCACTGCTCCATGCAGTAGCATGGATGCCCTCCGAAGCGGACATCTTGTGATTTTGGAGATTCCTCTTGCTTTGACCATGAGCATTGTCAATCAGCACTGATCCGCCCAGCTGTTTAGAATCCACTACTGCCATCCTCTGACTCCTCGTGGTGCCATTCGCCGTAGAACAGGATCTAAGCTGAGGAGGTAGGATTTGGGGAGTTCAGGATTTGGAGCTAAACCCTAAACCCCAAACCCTAAACCTGCTACGCCGGTCGAACTGGAGGCCTCTGAGCTTCCGCTGGACTCGCTGGACCTTGTGAACCCGCCCGTGGAGGTGGGCAAACGGGGTTCTCAAACCAATGAAGGGTTTAGGGTTTAGGGTGTGTGTGGCTATATGAGGGTTTTCCACAATTAGGGGTCTCTTTAAAGGGAATATAGGGGTTTTATAGCGTTTAGATTTTAGAGATTCCAGTGCAGGGTTTCCCAAAATTGGTGGTACCATTTCGGGGGTCCCAATAAGGACCAGAATATTTTGGGGTCCATTCTTTAGAGAAACTACCATAGAAGGGGTTCTCTGGGGATAGTGACGGGCTTGAGCTCAAGGTTCAGTGCCTCAGCAGTCTTGGTGCCCTTTTGGCACAGAGTTTTTGCATCTGCGAGTGTCAGATGTTGCGGCTTCTGAGGCTCGCGTCTTGGGGACGAAGTGTCTTGAGCATGGGTCTCAGGGCTCAGCGCTTACAATTTTGTATTCACTTCTCAAGCAAGAACTCCGTTCGAGGGGCTGCCGAGTGATGAGGGGAATATGTTTCAAAAGAAACGTGGGGGTTCGTGTAGGAGCACTGCAAAAATTAGAGAGGGACTTCCAAAGGCGAAGGGGGTTGGAGTAGGGAACCCATGATCAGGCCTTACCAAAGAACCCGGTTGAGGGTATGCTAACTCGTTGATAAACTAATCTGAATATTCCCCAACCTACAGCTGCAAATCATGATCCGGGAGGACCAAGTAAACCCTAAACCCTAAACCTTATAGTTGGGCCAAAATGCTTTCTACATGTTTTCTTTGGGGCCCAAGCATCTGCAATATTCCCAGGAAAAAGTAAAACTGGACCATTATCCCCATATGAGCTATAATCTAAACTCCTTAAAGGGGGGTTATATAGGGGATTATATAGGGGAGTACTATAGGGGCTATTAAGGGGGATACTAGGAGTTTAGGCTACAGCTCATATATTCCCTGTAAAGCCCTACGGCCATACGAAGTATAAAGCAAAGGCCTCTAAATCTATTCCAGATATGTATCTACGTGGTCACTTGGCGCTGAACCCTGAACCCTAAACGCTGCAAAGAACCAGGCGGATGCCCCCCTTGACGAGCGCGACATCCAGCTGGTGCAAACCACCTTTAAGAAGGTGACGCGGGGGCTTGTCAAGACTTGTTCCTTTGAGGGTTGCAGGTTGGGTGCTGCCCCCACTCTGCGACAGTTGGATAATATTTAGAATGTAGCTGTATACAGCCCTTACTAAGATCCCTGATGTAGACTGTTATTGGGTGGGGGCAGTACCAATTTTATAAATACATATAAATATATATTGGCGGGATTTAGGGTTTTGGGATGTTGGAGCGGATTTTGCCTGTCCGTAAGTAAAGGTCAAGTCGTCCCTATGATGAGCTATAGTCTAAACTCCGTATAAAGGGATTATAAAGGGGATTATGTAGGGGACTACTAAAGGGCTTTTGAAGGAGGATGGTCGGATTTTAGACTACAGTTCAGATACTCCTATGCTACACTCACTTCTACACCTACAAGTCTGGTCCCCGAAGCTTTGCACAAAAAGCTGGCATCGGCCTGAAAACTCCGCAGCCGCCGCCATATTAAGGCCCCTTAATTTACCATTTTCTGTAAACCCTAAACCCTTATCAGGCCCGGAACCCTAAACCCTAATCAAGCCCGGAACCCTAAACCCTAAACCCTGCACCCTAAACCTTAAACCCTGAACCCTAAACCTTAAACCTTACACCCTGAACCCTAAACCTTAAACCCTAAACCCTAAACCCGTTTCCCAGTAGCTCAGGTGGCCGAAGTGGGCCCTGAGGCCGCCGGCCGCATCCTCTTCGGACATATCTTTCGCATCGCGCCCGAAGCAAAGGCTCTCTTCTCCTTCGCCAAGGACAGGTTTAGGGTTTAGGGTTTAGGGTTAGAGTACGTAATGTGATAATGACAATCACACGAGTAAGAATGGTGCGATTTATAGTAAGAATACTAGGGATAATCAGTAGAATAGTAAGAACAATGATAGTAATAAACAAGGTAATAACAATAAGCCCTAAACTGTAAGCCACATAAGCACATACATGGTGGTTTGCTGCCGAATTTAGGTGTACCTTTGGTGGAGACCCTACCAGACGGATTCTAGCATGTTCGGACCCATATTGGGGGTCCCCCTGTTGATAGTATGATATATATATATATACACACGCCTGTATATTAAAGTTTGGGGCTTAGGGTATATATATATATATGTGCACACATGTGTTCATGTGTAACGCTATGCAAGTTTGGCTTGTGTATGTGTCATCCGTACGTATGTCTGCTGGTATTTGTCTGTCTGTTGTTTGTGTGTCTGTATGACTGTAAGTCTGTATGTATATAAGCATGTATGTATGTACGTGTGCATCATGTATGTATTTACGTATGTATGTACTTAAGTATGCATGTGTGCATGCGCCTCTCTATGTAATAAGCAACAACTTTAAATGCATGCAATTATATGCGGCATGCAAACCATGTCTATGCATAAACATGTGTTTGAACATGTGTCTACACATACATTCACAGGCATGTGCCTTTCTTGGTGTGTGGTATCCGTATACGCAAGATGCGGAACGAGATGTGGAATGTGGTCAATTGGGGTTGCCATTGTTGTTGGGCTGCGTGATTTTCCCGGTTTCTTAGTTTCGATTCTGTTGTTGTGGTTTTTCCAGGGTTCGTACTGTGTGTTTGCCTGTACCCATGACAAGAAGTTTGCGGCACAGCCAGCGAATCACTATAGGTATTCACCGAGCATAAAGGAGGGCCAACAATGGCGCTGCTCTTGGCGGCATAGTGGATTTGATGGTATCGGCACATAGAACGGACAGGCAATGTGGGTAAGGCAGTGCACTATGTCCTACGTATACACATGTATGCTACATACACAACTCGTACAACTTCATCAGCACACTGCGCAGGCTAATTCAAATATGTATGACACATGTGTGATGCCTACAACTAATGTATGTTTCCACAATCTGCTTATCGACCTGCGCTACCTGGTGCTCAAAAGGAGATGGACCCCTTACAAACGCACTTGCTGGTACACACAGGGCATGGAGGAACGATTTCCATAGTTTTCCCAGTACGGCCCCAGTAAATAAATACGTACGAAAGTATTCATTGCTTCCATTCCCCATGACCATCAATGAGTAGGTGGACTGATGAGACAGGAAACAGTGCGTTTCTCTACAAGGCCTTGCCTCCCAAAGGGCTTCTTGTTCAGTTCGTGGGGGTCCGGGGTCCTATACAAACTATGTATGCTGCTTGTTTCTGTTCCCAGGAGACTGTATGGACAAATCTGAACCGTGTAAAGCGATATTCCTCCAAAAGCGGATTGGACTTTGACCCCAACCTGCTTCAACATTTTCGCACTATGATGCCAAGAACTCTTGTAAACGTCCTGTATTACCTGTAGAAGGCTTAAACCCTTCATTAGGTGGCCCAAAACCCTAAATCCCAAACCCTATAAACCCTTTACGGCTCAGGGTCCAGACAGACTCTGATGAAAGTCCACAGTTTGACGTGTTTGCCCAGGACGAGGAGACGATGTGGTTGCCTGGGAGCCGTTTCTTTCTCATGCTGAGTTGAGCAATTCCTAAGAAAAGTGTGTTCTCTTCCAAAATACGGGCACCCCAATATAGACCCCAAAAACACTATAATCCTCATTGCCGGGACCCCCCAAAAACTACCCCTAATTTCAGGAAACCCCCGTATAAGAAACGTGCACCTACACCAGGGCACCCTCCGAAGTGTTGTCAGGAATGAAATGAGCTATAGTCTAGACTCCTTGAAGGGGGATGATATAGGAGACTACTATAGGAGTTATTAGGGGGGATACTGGGGTACGGACTATAGCCCCTGTTGATTTCAGGATAGGGAGAAAGGTTGAAGATAATAGAATCTACCATGTTCTTCAAGGGTCAGGGCGCAAGGTTAAAGAATATGTAGGGGCTACCCTCAACCCTATACACCCTAAACCCTACACACTAAACCCTGTAGGGATCCATCCCCCATTCCCAACTCCGCGTGAGTAAGGTTTGGAGAAGCATGGCGCCCGGGTTGTGAACACGGTGGGGACTGCTGTGTCCTTGTTGCAGGACATGCGTCTACCTGGAGGGTCAGGGGGACTTAGTAGGTAGGTTAATAACCCCAATACCCAATAACCCATATAGTAACCCTAATGATCCCCCGTATAACCTGCTTACCAAGTTCCCCTGACCCCCCAAGTAGGGTTCGGGAGGTGTGGGGGAGTTATAGCATTTGGGGTTAAGAGTGTAGGTGTAGTTTTGTGCCTCTTGCTTCAGATTCTGGGCCCGAGGGCCAAGGGTGGAGGTGTAGAGGTTCCAGCGGGTTCTCAACAACATGGGCACCATTTAGCGAACCCATACTAGGTTGGGAATGGGGTCCTAATCCCTTACTATTTCAACCCTAAGTCCTAGACCCTAAACCCTCAACCCTAAACCCTCAACACTAAACCCCACACCCTAAACCCTATACCCTGAACCCTACACCCTAATTCGTCAACCCTAAACCGCCTCACTTGGTCCCAGGACCTTGAGACCTTGGTGCCGGTGTTGCAAAAGCTTGGCCTGCAGCATGTGGCCTACAAGGTGCACCGTGTTTAGGATTTAGGGCTTAGGGTTTAGGGCTTAGGGTTTAGGGCTTAGGGCTTAGGGTTTAGGGTTTTGGGCTTAGATTTTAGAGTTCAGGGACCCCAAAAGTATGCCCAAAGGGTCCATGTGGGTGTATGGTCTGTACTTGGGGCCCAAAGGGGTTCCCATATACCTATTTTAAGGCCGAAGTACATACCATATACCTACATGGACCCTTTGGGATGCAGAATAATGGCCTTTTTGGCGGGCAGTATGGGTTTAGGGCCATTATTTTACATACTTTTGGGGCTTAGGTAGGGTCTAGGGTTTGTGGTTTCGGGCTTACGGTTTGGGGCTTGTGGTCTAGGGTTTAGGGGTTGGGGTTTGGGGTTTGGGGTTTAGGTTTTGGGGTTTAAGATTTGGGTTTACGGCTTAGGGCTTGACCTATAATTCTTTCATGGGTTTCGGGCTACAAGGGATATGCGGGATATATAGGATATCACTCCACACAATGGCTAACTCAGAGTTATATATATCTACAAGAAATAAGAGGGTATTCTGGGCACATATCTAGGGATACTTAGTGTTTATATAGGGGTTCATAGGGAGATATATAGGGTTTAGGGAAATCACCTCCGAATGATGGAGAATTAAATGGGAAAGAAAATGGAAAATGACATGGACAACTACTCTAAAGAGTTTAGGGCTCGGGCATAGGGCTTGGGTGTAAGGGTCCAGGGTATAGGGTTGTTTTTGTTTGGGTTTATGGTTCAGGGTTGCGAGTTGAGGGCTCCGGGTTTATGGTTAAGGTCTCAGGGCTTAGGATTCAGTGTTCAGGGCTCAGGGTTTAGGGCTTCAGGGGTTCAGGTGCCCAACAGTTAACAGTTGAGTACTTGGAGGTTGAGTTACTAATCGTAATTCTCATACAGGGCACTCTAAACCCTGAACCGTGGACCCTTCGCCCCGGCTCATGTATGAATAAATTGAAAAAATAAATGCGGACCCCGCGCCCTGTAATAGTTGCATAATCGGAATATAAGAGGACCTTGATATAATGGCTTGTATCCCTCGTAGTCATTTTTACATGGTTGCGGAATAAATATGATGGTTGTTGTTATACGAACGTCCAAGAATTGAGGCATATGGACTTACATTTCGATGCTATCCCCATGCATAACAGTTTCGTGTGCAGAGTCATGGGTTTGGGGTTCGCGGTTCAGTATAGGCTCAAGTAGTATTTAGGGTTGTTGTTCGTTTGATCTTAAACCCTAAACTCTAAACCCTAAAACTCCAAGACCTTGATTTTCTTGCTTTTGTTGGGAGGTCCCTGTTTGGGTTGGCTGGCCTTGCGCCCTGAGCCCTCAGTCAGCCCAAGGCGAGAGACCTGGGTAGTTACAGACGTAGGAGAACCATGATAACCATTGTTATACCCTAATATTTAGGGTGTATAGGATTTCGGGTTTAGGGATTAAACCCTAAACCCTAAAACCAGTGCCTTAAGGTATGATCCCACTAGACTACTTCTAGACCTTGACCCCGACACCCTGGGCCCCCTTCAGCCTGGCGAGGTGCTTCCGCCCCACTATGACGTTGTGGGACAGGCCTTTATTGCCACCTTGGAGGATGCCCTGCAGACGGAGTTTACTGAGGCATATCGACTTCTCCAGAGATACATAGAGAGATACATAGAGAGGTAGGGAGAGAGAGAGAGAGAGAGAGAGAGAGAGAGAAAGAGAGAAAGCGAAAGGAAAGGAGAAAGAGAGTGAGAGCTTGCTAGGGCGTACGGTGTAGACATACATGTGTGTAGGGTTGGGGGGTTTGGGATTTTTTAACCATCAAAGTTCATTTTTCTTAGAAGTGTCTGCGTTGTGTGTTGTGGGTATACAGAGGCACAGCTAATGCTTGGAAATGACCATGTGCCTGCGTTTTTGTTCGTCAAAGTTCGGTTCGGGTGCACTGCAGGATTTCCCTGAAGCCCTAAGACCCTCAACCTTGAACTCTAAGCGTGAGAGTTTTGTCGCGCAATACAGGGAATATGGAAGGGTGCTACAGTGCTACACCTACTTTGAGATTATTACCCCTAATCTTGAGACACCTATCCCCCCCAATTTCAAAGGCTCCCTTTGCGGCACGTTATCACATATTGGAAATATTCAGCACTTGAGTTGGTTGATGGATGTACTATTTTGGGGATTAAGACTTTGTCTCGTGGTTGTGTGGGAAAATGTACAGATGAAAGTGGCCACGCACGGGCCGTGATGTATTGATACCTTTTGTAGGGATCAAAGCTGAGGCTGTCAAAAATGCGTACCTCAAGGTGTGGAACATCGTCCAGGCTACCATGATGGGAGACAATTATGCCGAGCCTGCCGTTGAGGCTTCAGGCTGAGTGACTTTGGGCGTGTTAAAGGCTGACATGCAACTACCTGGACCCCCAAAGTGTGTGGAATAATTGCCTTTTAAGCTTTGGGGGTTTAGGTACTGCTTTGTGGGAGGCCTTTTCCATGGCTGTTTCCTTGGCTTGCTAGATCATTGGCAACTGTTAGAGGTGTTGTTATGCCAGTCGCAGCCTCCCACAGTTGCCTTCCTAGTTTCCACCTATCTTTCTGTTTCCAGCCAGCTACGCTGTCCGGATGTTTTGCGTCACTGACACTGTTTGCTGCATCCTCCCAGCAAGATTGGAGATCTGGTGGGGGGATGTCGGCAGAGCGGGTGGCCCGCGCCGTGGGGGTCGAATGCCATGGGTTTATGGCACTTAGGGGTTTAGGTAGGCGATGGCTTCGGCGGCTTAGACTGCATCAAAACCCTCAGTTGGAGGCCTTTGCAACATGAAGTGTCCGGCTTGTATGCCATGTAATGAAATTAAAGGAAGTCCACATTACATGGGCTGCTTGAAAAGGGTCCCTTGTCCTGAACCGTCACAGACTTTTGTGATGCTACATATTGAGATGTGATCCTCTAAGCCCTAAACCCTAAACCCTAACTCATCTCTAAGTAATGAAGATTACCCTTGTGATTATGGCTTTGACGTTTGCCACCAGGGTTGATCTTCTACCTTTCTTGCTAAACATAGCGAAGGCACAGGTTGGGTCAATGACCCCATCCAGTTTCAGGCTTTAGTGTTTAGGTTTGAATCCCCGCCCAGATTATAATGAGTACCACGAAGGATTATTAAGGTAAATCACGGCTCCATTAACTCACATTTAGGGGTATTATTGTAGGGCACTGTAGGGCGATTGACCTCGATCATGGATGGGTATCCCCAGAAGCAATGAACCCAAAACACATCTCATGATCGCCATGAGCACTGGCGAGGGGTCAGGGTTTAAAGTTTTGGCTTTGGGCGTAGAATTTTACAGCATGACCACTTAGGTGGAGCCCCCACCCAGTAATAGTGACTATAAGGGATAATAGGGATCATATTAGGGTCCTCTTATATTCTTAATATACCACTATTACAGGGTCGGGGGTCCTCCTAAGGTATGGGGGTTTCCCAGATCGGTACTGTTTGGGGATCCCTAGCACGAGGATTGTAGTATTTGGGGATCTATATTCGGGTCCCTCTATTTTG